CCTGTAATCTCTCTATAGAGATTCTCTCCATTATTTGATCACTTGGAAGGCAAACACTGCACCAGGTATTTTAGGCAGAGAGGTTGGGAAACAGATTGTGACCTGTGTGCCTTGGTTGCTTTCAGCTGTGTTTGACAGGACACTTCGAGAAACAGATGAGCTTGGAAAAGAACTGTTTCGTAGGCAGGGATGAAAAAAAAGAGAATCAGAGGTTCCAGAACCAACTGGATGGAAAGATGCAACTGTTCATCTTCAATAAAGGAGAGAAATTGAGAAATGTTTTGAGTCACAAGGCTGATTAAATCCCATATTAAAAGCCCTGGCTGGTGTAGCTCAGTGGATTGAGCATGGGCCTGCGAACCACAGGATCACGGTTTGATTCCCAGTCAGGGCACATGCCTGGGTTGCAGGCCGGTTCCCAGCAGGGGACTCATGAGAGGCAACCACACATTGATATTTCTCTCCCTCTCTCCTTCCCTTCCCCTCTAAAGATAAATAAATGAAATAAATTTAAAAATCTTAAATCACATATTAAAACAGTTTTGGGACAGTCACTAGATCAAAGGTATGAGCAGTGGCTCCCAGTAAGTTCTTTTTTTTAAAGATTTTATTTATTTATTTTTAGAGAGGGGAAGGGGAGAAGAGAGGGAGAGAAGCATCAATGTGTGGTTGCCTCGCACACATCCCCAGCCTGCAACCCAAGCATGTGCCCTGACTGGGATTCAAACCGCAAGCCTTTGGTTCACAGGCCCACGTTCAATCCACTGAGCTACACCCGCCAGGCCCCCAGTGAGTTCTTTGTTGAATAAAATGGTTCAGGGAAAATAGGCTAAGGGCATGCTCTCCAATGCAGGTTAAGTTCAAGTTACCCTAGCAGTTATTCCTAGAGAGGGAATAATTCTTCTCGGAAGAATTATAGCTGTGGTGATTGACACATTGAGCTGACTACAATCAGATGGGCAAAACACTCTCCAAGTTTTAAAGAGATTTGACTAGCTAAGATATACCAGCTTGGGTTAAAAGATCATGACTGCTAGAGAACAACTTTTGGGCTCCCAAATTTCTGTGGACAGAAAGGAAGCTGAAAAAGCTGCTCAGCCCCCACGGAGTGTATATCTTCCAGATGCTGCCGGAAGGATGATGGAAAAGAAAGGAACTTCCAGAGAGTTAAAGCCAAGAGCTATGAAGAACAGTAACAGGGAGCTACTCTCAGGGGGCTCAACTGGAACTTAATCAAAAAATGTTTCCTACACCCAACAGAATTTTGGATTTGTAAGGTCCAGTGATGAATGAGAGTGTTTAATGGATAAGAGTGTTTATTTCAGTCCTTGAGTATTTATTCTGTCCTTGTTCAACCATTTCATATTAGGTGTAGATATGGGGGGCAGTAGATAACATTTGTTTCCTTTTCGGTTCATAACTCTGGATCAAGAGAAGCCATAGCTTGACATAATACAGGTGCTATCATGAGAAATTAAACTTTGACCCTGATGTCATGATTGGTTGAGACTTTTGGGTATCGCTTTCTGTAGAGAGACTGAGTGTATTTTTCATGCAAAAAGAGAATAAATGAGTACTTATGATCAAGGAAGTAGATTGATAAAAGAGTCATGATTTTTTTCACCCTCCATCCCAATCAAACTATCTCAGTAAATGACAAACAAACCATCAACCAGCTGCTGTAGCCAGAAACCTAGAAATCATCCTCAGGTCCATCTCCCTCATCATCTCCCTCCCTGCACGTTTTACTTTGTGCAGCCAATCACCAGTTCCATCAGTTCTATCTGGACTCCAGCTCTGTACTCAACCTTTCCCTTTGCCCCCAGATCCAGGCCACTGCAGCAGTCTTCTGATTATTCTCCCTGCCTCTGGTGCTGCTGAATCTCAATTCAGGCTCCAAGCTGCTAACAGAGTCAGTTTTTAAAGCAATTCTGATTATGTCAAGTTCCTACTAAAACTCTTCTCAGGTTTTCCATTGCTCTTAGGAAAAAGTTCAAACTACCTCTGAGGCCTTCCAAGGCCCTCTACTATTTAACCTTGACCACATCTCTGCTTTTACCTCTTAATAATCTGTTTCTGGTTTCTGTCTTGTCCCCTTTGCCTTACTGACCTGTTTTCATCCTTCAGGTCACAGGTGAAGGTCATTTCCTTGAAGAGATTCTCTACTCCATAATGCAATTTCTTTTTTTTTAAAGATTTTATTTATTTATCTTTAGAGGGGAAGGGAAGGAGAGAGGGAGAGAAATATCAATGTGTGGTTACCTCTTGTGTGTCCCCTGATGGAAACTGGCCTGTAACCCAGGCATGTGCCCTGACTGGGAATTGAACCGTGGTTATTTGGTTCCCAGACCCTTGCTCAATGCACTGAGCTATACCAGCCAGGCATAATGCAATTCTTTGTACATCCTCTATTACTGTACTTATCCAAATTGACTGTGATTATTTGTTGAAGTCTGTCTTCCCTTCATATTGTAAGTGGAGGCCGGGACCACATCTTTTTTAAGTGCTAGATCCCTATCATCTGGCACAGAGCATAGCTGCAGTAAGTGTTAAATAAAACTTAGTTTTTAACAATTTGCATGTTATAGGACCTGTAAGTGGTAGTTGACAGCAAGTATATCCATGAGGCAATGTAGGGAGAGTGTATCTCTAGAAAGAGAGAACATGAGAAGAAAGATAATCATGATTAAGATGAGAGATGAAGAGAAGGCGAAGGGGGAGGATGATTAATGAGCGGCCAGAAGCAGGAGGAATGTCAGAGGAGGATGCAATCACCAGCCAAAGTGGAGAGCGCATCAGGAAATTGCAGGTATGCAGGAGAGTCAACCACAGCAATGGGACAGGACGTGGATTGAAAAGTGCCATTGGATTTGGTTACAGAGCACGAAAGCTAATGTTTGAGAACAGCTGAGTACCTCCTTTGTCAAACTAATATACTTAAGGAAGTATTTTCTGCCCTGGCTGGTGTGGCTCAGTGGATTGAGTGCTGGCCTGCGAACCAAAAGGTCTCTCTGGTTTGATTCCTGCTACCCGGGTTGCAGCCGGTCCCCAGTGCAGGACATGTGAGAGGCAACCACACATTGATGTTTCTCTCCCTCTGTCTCCCTCCCTACCCCTCTCTCTCTAAAAATAAATAAATAAAATCTTTAAAAATATAAAAGAGAAAGAAAGAATTTCTCCTCTCCTGTTCATTAATTAATTCCTCTATCTATTGGTCCAGCAAAGATTCATTGTTCAATGAATCTACTCCAGGTCAAGTACCATGTTAAACTCCAGGGAGACATGAGAAGGAGAACAAGGTCCACTTGGGCCTGTGGGGCTCACCACCCTTGCCTGCAAGAGAAAGTTACAAAGCACTGACTTGTGCCCAGTAAAGCCAGGGCTTGACATTTCAATGGAGTACATATTGATTACCTCTCCCAACACATTCAGTGATACAAAAGTTAGTGTGCAAGTCCAGAGGTCAGCAAACTTTACTATCTTGCTCTGAGCTGGCAAAAGGGAAGGTATGTGTGGCACACTAATGCATGATTTCTGTCTGTTCATAAGTCAGTCACTATGAGAATCTAGTTTTTTTCCAAGAATACTAGTTTCATCTGCTCAAAGGTAGAAAACAGAGAGCAATTCAATGAAAAGAACATCTCAAAACACTCTGAATAGTATTTGCTCTGCAGAGATTCCTTTAATATTCAACAATACATTGTATTACTGACTGAACTACTGTTGTACTATTTTTTCTAGCCTGTGTTCTAACTACTGGTGAAACAGTGTGATAGAGTATTTGAAGCTCAGTGAGTCATGGCCTTCTGAAAGTTAATAGGAGTCTGGATGGGAACAAGGGAGGGACACTTTCTATTTAATTAAAATTATCTTACTAGGTTTTCCTTTAATAAAGTGAACATCTCATTTTATATAATGGACATTGTTTTGCAAAAATAAAAGTTTAAGTCAAAATGTCTTTAAGGCACATTATGAGAAAACCAGGCCATCAACAAACTTTTAAATAGAACTAGGCATTTTTTGAAATGTGAATAATCATTATTTATTATTAGGATTTTTGAAATATACATTTTGTAACATATATGATTGGATGTATAAGTGATGCAAATATCTGCCTACAACTTCCATCAGACCTTAGCTTTTGGGGTCTGGCCCGAGAAATTGGAACATAGTAGAAAAATAAGCTCCAAAGAGTTCCTTCTGTCTGAGAGAAATGTCCTCAGGGACTTGGAGCTCAAGCCTGGACTTTGACAATGCTTCCATCTAAGGTCCCTGAGGACCTCGGATGGATTGGGCAAGGACGGGGGCAGAGTGAATCCTCCACCACTGGGGACGGTGGGAATAACAAGTTATACTTTCTGAATGTTCACAAGCAGCCAGGCTCTTCCTGCAATTCTTGACGTGTATTAGCTCAGTGAATTATCCCAATGACTCATGAAATAGTTACTGCGACTATCTCCATTTCCCAGATGAGAAACTGAGTCTGGGACATTAACAGCAATTTGCCCGATGTCATCCACTTTGAAAGTGGTGGAACTGGTACTTAGCGGGCAGCCATCACATACGTCAGTAATAGGGCCAGTTTTGCTTAAATGGGCCTATTAAACTGCAAATACTCGCCTTTACCGCATGCAGGGTCTTTCTGGTAAAGCGGGTGTTATAAACGACTTTTAAGATAAGTAATTAGTCTGTAGGAAAGGGTGTGTCAGAGTCAAAGGTGAATTCTCCTTGTGCGTGGTTGGGGAGAGGTCTGCGGCCAATTCCTAGCTGCTTCAAGCTAAGAACTTGAGCTTTTACTCTCCTTTGTCAAAGCCCGAAAGTCCGCAGGCCAAATAATAGAGTCAAAACCGGCTGCCAGCCACGCGGCCCAGCCAGGGAGGCAGGGGCGGGTCAGTGGAGGCGGGCCCGAAGCGGTGAGGCTGGCATCCAAGGACACGCACGCCGAGTGGAGTGCGCCTGCGCACGAGGTGGGCAGAGCGGGGGGAGGTGCAGACTAGCTTGTGCGAGCCGCGTTAAAGGCGGCTCCCAGCGGGGCTCCACAATCCAGCCCCAACAGTGCGCAGGCGCGGAGGTTTCCTTGTCAGTCGGATCCGCGTGTAGGCTACTTGCTCCGTAGCAGCGGCGGCTGTCTCCAGCATTATGAGCGGCTTCAGCTGTGAGGAGCGCGCCGCGCCCTACACTCGCGAGTACAGGGTCTTCTTCAGTGAGTATCCGTGGCCCCGCGGCCCTTCCCCGCCCCCATGTCCATTCATTCCTAGGCCTCGTCCCGCGTCCCGCCTGGGCGCCTGCGGCCCGCGCTTAGCCTTTTGTCCCGGGCGCGGGATGGGCTCCTCCAGCCGGTGGCTGGGACCTGGGAAGACCAAGTGAGCCTTTTCACAGGTCTGGATCGCGGGCGGGAGAGCATGGGCTCGGTGGACGCTAATCTGGGCCAGGCTAGTTTTGCAGGTGCTCGGTAGTGTGTGATGGGAAAAGGAAACCTCTGAGTCACCCTAGAAAGGTGCCTGGAGGTAAACTAATTCCCCTAAGAGGATTGCTGAATTTGGAGGAAAAGGAGGAGGGGTGCGGAGGCTGGTGTGGGGAGAAGTCTTAAAACCGTAATTCCATCACTGTAGCTCAGATTTCTGGCTCCAAGCGGAGTAAGTGCAGCTCCTTGTTCTGCAGACGGTGAAACAGGCCGGGATCGCGAGCGTTCAGTAGAGGACTGGACCCATCCCTTGGTTTGGGAAGGGCTGGAGGGGGATCCCGGTAGCGCTACTGCCTCTCTGCCGTCTGTTTTCCCTAAAGCACTGATGCTGGGAACTGGCCTATGAAACAGAAAGCTGTTCTCTTCGAGTTAAACAGGTGACGTCAATCTGGCAAGCAGAACGAGAAAGTGCGGCGTTTTTTCCCGTGTGCAGGGACTAGGTGTCCAAGGGGTACTTACCCCAAGTCCGTACTATGAGCGGAGTTGGCCACCGGCTCCACTTTCCTGGACGCCTCACCTTTCGCCCTGTAGGTGGAGGAGAGCTACCTTCGGGTTTAATCTTATAAGTAGCGTTCGCTGCCGGATTGCGCCTCTGAAGCTCCTACCTTCGGGTTTATCTTTGCTCTCAACCAGCCCCCTTCCTAAACTACTAGGAATAGATTATAGGAGATGAAGGAGGCGTTCGAAGCGGTGTCGCCAAAGGCGTTCTATTTTAACTTCTTTACAATTTCAGTATTTGGAAGGAAGTGGGCAGATGCACTGAATTCTGTGAGTTCTCCAGTGTGTGAAGGGCAGTAAAGTGGGTTTAGAGGGAACAAATGGGATTCCTGAAAGGATTTGAAAGAATCCTATCAAAAAAGTAAGTAGCCCGGGGTGAGAGAAAAAGGTAGGTGAACTCTCAGGTTTACACATCTAGTTGAACATTAGACTACCATGTAAAGTCCAGGAAGCCTTGGAAATAGCAAGGACAGTGTAGGAACTTTTGACAAATAAGTTACTGAGCTATTTTTCCGGAGTTAGTGTTGGCGCCAGAAGTTCTTTAGAGGAAGGACTTAGAGGCATGGCTCTGGTTTTAAGGGCTGGGAATGGTTTGAGTAATATTCAAGCTATAGTTGCAGAGCAAACACAGCTTTTGGATTATGTATTGGTAACGAATATTTGATAGCCCTCATGGAAGACCACAGCCACTCCTTGACTTTGGCACTGGCTAAAGTAACTTTTTATCAGGTGGAAATCTCTGGAACTAAATACCAATAATTAGATCCAATGATATAATTTTAAGGTTTTTAAAATCATAGATTTCTTAGAGTCCTTCCATTAACAGGAATTTTTTAAACCTCTATAAATGTTACATTTACCAGTCTCTTTAAAACTGAGAGTGGGTGGGACTGCAGAGTCACAGTTAACTTTATGGGTTTGGGAGTGGTCACAGATTTTTCCTATTCCACTTTTGTTTCTAAACCCGAAGGGATGCAATGTGGACTGACCCTTTGGTTAGTCCACAAAGAAAGGAATATTTTGAATTACTTTTTGGATATAGTAGTTAGGTCTCTAGAATATAGAAATTACCTGTGAAAGTGTTAAAGCAGCATGATTATCCCAAAGGAAAATCATGATCTAAGATGGCTCTGTCTTACTGGAATAAGATTTAAGGCAACATGATTTATAATTCAGCAAATTGATGCACTCCCTTCTTTCCAAGCTCAAGTATCTCATTAGTTTCGTAAACTGCTAACTGATGTGAGATCAACCCAAAACATTTTGGTCACTTTTGTACACTGTGCACTGCTAGGCTCTGGGGATAAAAAGGTGTGTGTGTAAGGCAGCCCCTGCCCTTACAGCACCTCTTCGATTCCTAAGGAATGCATGGGATGAAGATGTAGCCCAGCCTTAGAGGAGGGTCAGGAAAGAAGAAGTGCACAACCAGTGTTATGTGGGGATAAAATCTTGGTATCAAAGTGTGTACTTTATCATTCTGGTGAGTGGTGTTGAAAATGGGAGAGACTGTGTGTGTGGGAGCAGGGCATGTATGGGAAATCTCTGTACCTTCTCTACTTTATTGTAAACCTAAAACTGCTCTTAAAAATTAAGTTTTCAAAAAAGTGTACTTCATATATCTGGAAATGTAATTAACCAAAAAATAATCACGTTTTCTGCTTTATTTTCCAGAAAATGAAAAAGGACAGTATATATCTCCATTTCATGATATCCCAATTTATGCAGATAAGGTAAGGTACTGTCACCTTTTGAACCCAGTCTCTTTACTGAGATCAGTTAGTTCCACATATGGATTTCCTTAAGTGCTTAAAATGCTTCATTGTGCTGTAAGTTAAAGGGACGTTAACTAAATGAAAAGTCAGTCGTTTTTTCTTTTTTAAATTCTCACCCAAGGATATGTTCATTGAATTTAGAAAGAGAGGAAGGGGGGAGAGAGGGAAAAAAAAAACATTGATGTGAGAGAAAAACACCGATTGCTCACCTCCCATGTGCACCCCAGCTGAGGATCAAACCCGCAGCCAAGGTATGTGCCCTGACTGGCGATGGAACCCGCCACCCTTTTGGGGTGTGGGATGGCGCTTCAACCCACTGAGCACCCATCCAGGGCAAGAAGTCCGTCTTAAATTCAGATATTCATTAGAGAGGCCACTGAATAAATAGGAACAGAAGCAAATGTTGTAAAGCAGCCTCAGTTAACAAAAAAATTACATTGGTCTTCTCTGTATGTGTATTTGGAACTAAAATCCAAGTACTTTATTAATGGTTTTAAAATTAAGTAGCCAGCTCAAAATTTGGGCTTTGAAATATTTACTAAACAGTAAAAATAAACTAGGTTATTCAGTGAATACAGAAAAATTTAGTTTTTTTAATGGACTGGTAGAGTTAAGGTCTACAAGGGGAGTTAATGAAGGTAAGTCCACAGACTTCCAAAAAGGAATGTCTGTTCCTGTATAACCAGTGAGCCAAAGAAATCTAACTTTAGCGCAGATTGATAGGTTTGCCACAAAATGGTAAGAATCTTTACTTTCCTAGGAAATAAGTCTACAACTACATATTCCCAAATAAATATTCATGATTCTTGGGAGGTAGAATTAACTGCTAGTGACTCTTTGTTTTTCCTTTCATTTTGCCATTTCATAGTTTCTATCCTTTTATAAAGAGCTGCATTACTTGTACAGATTTAAGTAGTTATTTAGAAACCTTTCCAATAGGAGAGGTTTGTAGGAAATGATATTCTCTAGGAAATGACAAAAAGACAAATGTTTATTCTTTTCTCTGCCTTAAACCATTTTTTCCCACTTAGTCAAGAAGCTTGGTTCACAGTGAGTGCAAATCGTTTTGAGTTATAAAAGCTGCATAGGTTATTGGTTTCTTTTAGGTAGATGTCTGTACGTAGACATGTGACCATCACGTTCCAGTGCACATCTAGAATACTAGTAAAGATGGAATTTTATTCATGTGTGCTGTCTTACTATTTTTCTGAGCTTGACTGTCAGAGAAAATAGACAAATTCATTTACCTTCTGCCAGGAAGTTTGCTGCACTTGGCAGAAAATCCAACCAGTGTGTCACTTCCAAGGAGCTGGGCTCCAGCTGGAGGCAGTGGCGCAAACAGCCCCAGGCCAATTACCTGCCACAGCTACAGGAGGACCTCTAATTGGCTTGTGTTCTCCTGGGGGGTTCTCAAAGTTGTGTTTACTCAGAAACCTGTTTTGTTACATCTGGTTTCTTGGGAATTGATAGGAACTGCAGGATCCTTCCTCCCTCTCAAATTGCTATCATTTGGTTGGCTTGAATGTTTGTTGTATAATTAGTATCTACAGGAAAGCACTTTACGGTAACATCTCAGACCATTTTGAGTAATGAAGAGTTATAAAATGATGACTGTACGTTTAGTGATGATACTTTGGCCTACAGATGTACTAAGGAAGGAAAACATTTTCTTGATGTACATTATATAGCTGTGTGTGTGTGTGTGTGTGTGTGTGTGTGTGTGTGTGTGTGTGTGTCTTAGTCCCTTTGGGCTGCTATACCAAAATGCCTGAGACTGGATAGCTTATAAACAGCAGAAATGTATTGCTTACAATTCTGGGGCTGGAAGTCTAAGATCAGGGTGCCAGCCTAGTCAGGTGAGGACCCTCTTCTGGTTGTAGACCTCTGTGTGTAGCCTCACGTGGTAGAAGGGTCTAGGGAGCTCCGCAGGGCCTCTTTTATAAGGCACTAATCCCCTTAAGGGCTCTACCCTCACATCCTAACCACTTCCCAAAGGTCCCACATAATGTACCATCATCTTTGAGGATTAGGATTTTGACCTATGAAATTTGGGGAGACACATTGAGACCATAGCAATAAGCGATTAGAGAATATTCTAGCCAAGGATCAGAATGATAGCAGTTGTGGTACCTAATCTTACTGCTTGCTTCAAGTTATATCAGAATAGGAAACTGAGACTACATTGGTTTCATGTAAAACATCCTCACTCTGATTATGGTGACTCCTTAAAGTCTCGGACTGGATTGGTTGTGTCTATACCGTAACCTGGGATTACTCAAATGAAGACTTTGTATTTTCATCTGGAGCAAAGCCGGCTAGGCTCAAGCGCTTGCAACAGCTCTATTTCACTGGTGGTCCAGACCTCAGTGAACTCCACTTCAGATTCCTGCCTGAGAAGCAGGAAAGAGTTTCGTTTTTAAGGAAGTTCAGGATGTAGAAAACAAGTAAGGGTGTGGTACACAGAAATGATTTTGGATGATAGCCTAAATAAAAGATCAGATTGATTCAGTTGGTTACAGAAAAGTGTAATTTTAAAATATTCCAATATGATTAAATGTATATACACTTTTTTGTGTGTGTGGCCATAGACCTTCTTCCTAAAGTGGTTATTCATTTGATAGGTGATTAGGAGGGAAAGTATCTTTAACCTAAATCAGCTCTACTAAGGAAAAATGCCCGAAGGCTTATCCTGTTCCAAGTCAGGACCTTTCAATGTGGAAAACATTCAATGCAGTTTGTCTGCCATTAGGTAATCAATCAAGCCAGTTCTGGGAATCCTTAAAACTCAGATACCCTGCTAGGATTATTTCCAAATTCAATGGAGAGAAGAAGACAAATATTCACTGGATTCTTTTTCAAGGTTATAAGAATGTCCTGCTCTGGCTGGTGTGGCTTAGCGGATTGAGTGCTGGCCTGGGAACCAAAGGGTCGCTGGTTCACTTCCCAGTCAGGGTACTTGCCTGGGTTGTGGGCCAGGTCCCCTTAGGGGGTACACGAGGGGCAGCCACACAATGTTGTTTCTCTCCCTCTCTCCTTCCCTTCCCCCCCTCTAAAAATAAATAAATAAAATCTTAAGAAAATGTCTTTTGCTTTGGGTCTATTTGGGGATTAAATATAAAAAGCACTCATAGCTCAGAATGTCTTCAGACATAAAATTTGCAATATACCAGAAATTTTAAAAATCCAAAACATAACCACAAACTGAAACATTGGGTAAATACTATCTAAATATGAAAGCGTTCAAATGTTGTTATGTGATGTTTAGTTTTAGAAGTTTGGTATTTTTCTATTCCATCTTAAACTTTGATGTTAAATACAATACTAGTTCTAGCAATACAGGCTACTACTTGTTTTTCAGGCTACCGTTGGGAGCATATATAAATAATGGAGCTATATTTCTTTTCTCTCCTAAAAAAACCTGTCAAGCTTCTAATCAAATAGGTTGGTTGAGGCTTGAAAATAGCAGAAGATTTTTTGCTATATGTATCATTCTTAATTTTTTAAAGGTACTATGTCAGTGTACCCACACTTTTTAAGACTCCTTTTACTTCTCAAGTGGATGCGTTTTAGATTACTCACTTTCTTACGGGGCTTGCTTTCTTTTGAATTTCCTATTTCTTTTTATAAACAGCTCCATAAATTGAAATTTTAAAAATATCCCAGAATTAATAATATAAACAGTGTGTGTTTGTCTTCCCCAAGTTATTATTTATGTAGCAATAAAAATATATATATGTATAGTATATATATGAATGAGGGGGGACTCCCCCAAACCAGAATTTATTTATAAAAAATTGTTTATTCATTCTTACATGTTTAAACTTAAGTCATCTTCAAAGTGCTCTCCATTTGATGCACCGCATCTAGCAAGATGTTTTTTTCATTGCTCAAAACAGTTTTTGAACTTGTTGATTTTGATGCCTTTTAGTGCTTCTGCTATTTTTTTGTTTCACCTCTCCCACTTAGACAAAAATGTTTCCCTTTGAGGACCTTTTTCATCCTGGGAAACAAAAGTCGCTTGGGGCAAGACTGGGTCACCAGGTAGGGTAGGGCACAGGGAGGTGGCGGAGCGTGCTGTTTTTTTGGTTAAAAACTGCATCACTGAAGCTGAACACAGCCTCTCACAACAACACCAGCTGGTACACTGATACAGATGGGTTCCTAGAAGACCCACCTAGTGGAGAAAGCCTGTATTACAAAGGGCCTGCCCTACAGAAGATAATTTTGTTTTCTGGGGGGTCCCTCCTCATATATGTCTCATATATACTCATTTAATACGTATCTATAAAATTACCACAGCGTGGATGAACCTTGAAAGGCATTATGCTAAGTGGAATAAACCAGACAGAAAGATAAATACTGCCATGGTATCACTTGTATATAGAATCTTTAAAAAAAAAAAGTCAAAGTCATAGTAACAGAAAGTAGAATGGTGGTTATTGGACTGGAGGTTTCAAGAAATAAGGAGAGGTTAGTAAAGCGTATCTACTTTCATCTATAAGATGAATAAGATCTGAGGACCTAATGTAAAACATGGTGGCTATAGTTGATTAATACTGTTGTATAATTGAAACTTGCTAAAAGAATAAAATTTAAATGATGTCTCCTCCCCCCAAAAGAAAAGATAAATATGTAAGGTTATGGGTATGTTCATTACCATATTTTTCAGACTATAAGACACACTTTTTTTTAAACCACATTTTTTACTTCAAAAAAATTTTTAACTATTTTCCTCCTCTAAAACCTAGGTGCATCTTATAGTGCAGACCACAGATGCACCTAGGTTTCAGAGGAGGAAAATGGGGGGAAATTTGAAGCAGGAGAAGTCCTAACAATGGGGCTAATAAAACCATAAATTCAGGATTGAGCTAAGTAATAGTTGAAACCAGTTAGAATTAAAAAAAGAAGGTATGAATTTCTGGATGGTACTAAATTTTCTAAAATCTTGTCTTGCTATTTTTAAGTACATAAGCATTGTAAATATTATAATGCGTGTCTTTCCCAATTTTTAAATTATCAAGTGCATGTAACATAAAATTTGCCATTTTAACCATTGTTAAGTATCCAGTTCTGTGGCATTAAGTTTATTCATATTATTGTGCAACCACCACCGCCCTTCACCTCCCGAGCGCCTCACCTGGTGGTGCTGAACGTCTGTACCCGTTGAACAGTAGCTCCCTGTCCCCTGGCCCGGTCCCCTCACTTCAGGGTCTCATGTAATAAGTGGAATCATACAGAATTTGTGTTTCTGTGTCTTGGCTTACTTCATTTTGCACCATGTCCTCAAAGTTCATTCATGTTGTAGCATGTGTCAGAATTATCTTCCCTTTAAGGCCAAATAGTATTGTGTGTATATATCACATTTTGCTTTTCCATTTACCCATCAGTGGACACTGGGGTTGCTTTCATGTTTTAGCTACCGAGAGTAATGCTGCTCTGAACGTAGGTGTACAAACATCTCTTTAAGACTCTACCTTTCAGTTCTTTTGGGTATATACCCGGGAGTATTGTTGCTGGATTATGTACAGGGGCTGGCACAAATAATGCTCCCTTTTTTTTTTATTATAAAACCATGATCATGTCATTCTGTTACATAATAATATCACACTCAACACCATATAACATTTTAGGTAAGTGTTCAAATTAAAACTGTAAATTATTACACCCATATTATTACCCTACCAACCACATTCAAGCAAACCTTACTTCTGCCGGACCCTGTAGGTCACATCTCCTGAGGCCTAGAGATGGGAAAAAGGCTGACAACTCCAACACTGCATGTGTTTAAGGGAAATTACATGAGGTGTGTCTTGGGCAGTGGCTAGATAACACAGGTACCCTCCGTGCCTTCCGCACAGTGTTCTACAGCTAAAAACAATGCGTCTGGTGCTGAGAAAGGAGTGTGTAGCATGTAAGGGACGGGGGGCCACTAGTTGCCCGGAGGCTTTGGCATCAGAGCTGGTTAAGAGGCAGATAAGGTCACGGGTGGCTCATTACAGAGTTTCTGTGTACATTCCCAAATAGGGGGTGGGGGAACGAGAGTCAGGATGGTAGATTGGCTTCTAGACTGAGTCCGCTGTATCCATAACGCACAATATGATAATCCCATTTGTAATTTGTAATTTTTTGAAATACCGCTACGCTGTTTTCCCCAGAGGCTGTGCCATTTTACTTTCCTACCACTAGTGCACAGGAGCTCCAGTGAGAATGCGGGTTTTAACAATAGAAGTTTTTCTAGCAGTGGATAATTGGTTGAATTCCTCATATCTGTTGCTCTGAAAATTGTTTCACTTTCACCTAGTAGCAACCTCTTGAATTAGTCATGTTGTCTAGGAGAAATAAATTATTTCGTAGTAGTTCCTGCTGATACACGAGAAACCTCTTTTTATATCAAAATATTTAAAAGCACATTTCTTTGTGATAATTAATGGAGAAAGTAATAACTAAAAGCTACTGCACATTTTTTGCTTTGCTTCTATCAAAAACACAGTAATCACTACAGCATCTATATACATTGAGAATGTGCTAGAACATTCATTTCACAGAGTAGTCCCTCATCTACAAGCAGGTTCGTGTGCCCCAAGCTGTAGCATGAGGCTTATAAGCTACAAGGACCTGGTCTGGAAATCCAGCCCCTATGGAATTAAAAGCTCTTATTCTGTTCATTGCTGGTCTTCAGTGCCTAGAAAAGTGTCTAGCACACAATTGTAGTGCTCAATAAATATTTGTTGAGATGATTGAATCAGTTTGATATGTGGCTTCTTGCAGGATACTTCTTGCTATTTTTGGCTCAACTAATGATGTTTTTTGTTTTGTTTTTCGTTGCGGTTTCCATTAGCTATGCAGGTTTGTAATAGTGGGTATGGTGGTTCTGAGATCTATATATTTATCATTTCATTCCACTGGAGTGTTTAGTGTAGTTTTCAAACTTTGAATTAGTGATTTCAGCTCTATTTGCTACTTTTCCTCTAGGCAGTGTATTCATTTTGTAATCTTTTCTTTTTAAAAAATTGACCACCAGTCTCCTTGTCTGTCTCTGCCCAGTTTAACCTTTCCTGCAGTAACAGCCCCATCTTGTGAGCTGTTGGTGTATTGCTGCTGGAAACTGTAAAAGCCCGGCTTTGTTCCATCATGTCTATGGATCTACAGGTCCTGCATTTTAATGCCAACGTGAGGCAGATAGATGCAGTTCTTGTAAACTACCCTGAAAAGTTAGTGTTACTTTTCTAAAACCATTCATTATTACTTTACAAGGGCAGAACAGTTTATTAAGTCCTGGATTTAAATATTATCTCCATTCTTGGTAGTTTTTGTGTGGTTAGCAAGTAACTGTCAAGAAACTTAGAACATATTTTAGTCACCCGTGGTTTAACCAAGAACTTAGATGAGTGGCAGAAGTTTTACACTCTTGAACATGAATCTGTGTAGCTTTTCTGATTGGTTAAAAATAGCAAGGTAGTTACTGACTTGAAACCTTTGACTTATTGTTGCTTATCAGTCCTTGTTTGTTTTTTTAATTGAATTTATTGGAGTGATATTGGTTAATAAAGTTACAAGGTGATGTTGGTTGATAAAGTTCTGTAGGCTTCAGGTGTACAATTCTATAAGTCTATTTTTTAATGCAAACTAGCGAAGATGTAATTCTAAGAAGTTGTATAATATGTGATTCTCGTTTGAAATAAACTTTTAAAAGTACACATTTAGTATAGAGTAATTGTAGGCTTGGCTTCATGTGTGCCTCTTGTAGAGGCTGTAAACTGAAAAACTGAATTTAAAGTTTTATTCCTTGGTAAAAATAATTTTCTGACTCCTTAAAGCTCAGTTGTAATTAGACACCCTATGTCAAGTTGGTGTGTGACTTAGGTGTGCAAAATGAGATGACTGTGATTTTCTTTCATGGTGTTTTTAAACAGTAAGCACTTGGGAATGTAAAAAATATATCATTTTATTTTTTAAAGATTTTATTTATTCTTAGAGAGAGGGGGAGGGAGGGAGGAAGAGGGAGAGGAACATTGATTGGTTGCCTGTCACATGCGCCCTGACTGAGCATCATACTGGTGACCTTGCACTTTGCAGGGTGATGCCCGACCGAGTGAGCCATGCTGGTAGGGCAGGAGTGTGTCATTCATCTTAAAGGAGTCAATTTAAGGCTGTAAACTAATTACACTAGGAATGCCATTGGTTGAAATGTTTTTGGAACATGTTTTATTTCTGTGTCAAACTTGTCCCTTTGATGAGTGGGTACTTGATTTTTAAAAACAACCAAGTTGGGAGGATAGTGTGGGTGATCAAGCTAAGTAATTTTGTTTGAGGCTAAAACTAAAGTATGACAAAGTAATTAAGTTGATTTGGGATTTGTCTGATAAATCATCCCTGAAACGGGGTCCAAACCATTTTGAGTAATTGCAATGGAAATGAATGGGCTTTGGAGATGATCGCTTTGAAGGTGGACTTCCTCAGAGATACAAGTTCTGTTATGTTTAGAAAGTGTTTCCTTTCTTTATAAAAATATTCTTTCCACACATACCCAACTATTTTATTATATAACTTCAGAGACCTGAAACAATGATCAGTTAACTTTGGAGGGACTAGGGCACCTCATTGAGGAGAACACATTAGCTCCTGTGACCATCTGACCTTGTTTTTCAGGATGTGTTCCACATGGTGGTTGAAGTACCACGCTGGTCTAATGCGAAAATGGAGGTATGTTTTGATTGACATCAGATGTAGGATGTTACCGCATTTTGCCACATATAATGTGCTCCTGTGTATAATGCACTCCCCCATTTTTGTGTGCATTATATACGGGCCCTTATTATACTCGTGGTATGTAATCATTTTACCTGTGTATGATGCTAATTTGTATTTTTCCCTCAAAACTTTGGGCCAAAAAGCACACATTATATACAACAAAATACAGTGGTTTTCATCTAATCACACTGATTTGCTCAAGGGCTAAACAGCTAAAGCCCAGGGTTTTCCTCTTTCTAGTCCCAATCTGTTTTCCAGTTGTTTCTCCCACTGCCTTCCAATCTTACCTCTGTGCCCCAACTAAACTCAACCATTTACAATATACAAATGTGCAACAGACTTACCTTCCCCGTACCTTTGCTTCTGGAGTTCCCAGAGCCTGAGATTACCTTTTTCTCCTCTGTCTTGTTCTTTTTAAAATCTTCCATAATAACATCAGAGTCATCAGGCTTTTCTTGGCCACCCCAGCCACAAATGATCTTACTAGAATTTCTGTTGCATTTTGTTAATTTCCTTCTGATGACACCTAAGTAAATATTTGTCTTTTTGTTATGGATATTTATTATGTGTTTTGTATTGATTAAGCTTTTTGAATGTAACCCATTTTGCATGTGAGAGACACTCAGATTTCAGTACTTTTAAATGCTTTAAAGAAAAAGCTGAATTTGGCAATATTTATTTTGTCTTTTTAATAAAAATCTTTTATTTCTCAAATGTTAGGATTTATTTCAGGTAAATTTAGTTTTTGCTTTCTGGAATTAATAAATGTTCTTTTTCCCTTCTTGATAGTTCCCATATACCTCAAATGTTTTCCACTTAAAGGCTAACTGTGGAGAAACTTTAATTTCAACTTATAAAAATATTAGGGGTACAATACATCATTACAGTGGAACTAGGGAGTGTGTATTCCATAAGTAATTTCTGCAAATCCTTTATCTGAGTAGTATTTCACATTCAAATATGCAATGATTAGACAATTTTTTAAATTTCAGATTTCTACAAAGGACCCTTTAAACCCAATTAAACAAGATGTGAAAAAAGAAAAACTCCGTTATGTGGCAAACCTGTTCCCTTACAAAGGCTATATCTGGAACTACGGTGCCATCCCTCAGGTATGCCTCTGTGCAATTGTTAGAAATGTACTGTTTGGCTTACAAAAAACTAACCTGCTGCTGTTAGTAACAGACGATTTAAACACCTTCAGAAAGGTTTTGCTAGAATAGACTTTAAAAACATAATGGGTAATGAACTAATTTAATCCTTCCTTGAATAACTTACTTTCAAGATAAATTAAAAGGTAATTGTTTACAGTGTTGAAGTTCACATTTGAAAGTTCTTTTTTGAAATATTTATCTTTCTATAGAGACTAGTTATAAACTACAAATTCTTTTTTACAGAATGAGTGGCAAATCTATTAGGAGAGACAGTATAGGCTAGTGCTTATAAAAGCATTGATTTTTGGCCCCAGACAGACTAGGGTTCAAATCCCAAGGCTACCACTTGCTAAGTTACCTAATTGGTGTCCGTTTCTTCCTCCCTGAGACATGAATATCTCCCCCTGAGTTATTAATAGTACTTAGCTCATGTGGCTATTATGAGGAAGAAAGCACTTGGTTCACACAGCTGTTGACCTTTATGTTTAGAGTCCTGATTCCTTCTTTAAGCCAAGCTCTCTGTCGTAAGTAAGAGTCAGATTCTGTTTTCCTGAACAGTCAACCCTTTGGGGCAGGGGAATCTACATTGTTTACGAGTTAATCACCAGCACTGTGCCAGTGTGCGGTGGGTCTTTATGTAACATTTGAGTAAAGAATCACTGCAGTCTGTCTCTTATGAGTAAATGATGGATTTAATTCTGGTTTGGCTAGGATAATGTTGTGGGCCTCAGGATTTTTATACAAAACATCCAGTTAATTTTCTTCCTGTTGGTAAATGGTTTGTTTTTATTAACCATTAAGCCTATTAAGTGGGATCCACTGTGAAACAATCTGTTACCAAACCTAGGTCAAACTCATCTGGCTTGTTAGGTAATTATAAAGTTGTTTGCCTTAATTATAGGCTGACACCTTGCACTTCAATTGATTTAGTTTTCAGCCTTGAAATATCGTCCATCTGGGAAAACTGCTGAAATTCTTATTCTTCTGTAGGCTGGATTTGGCTTTGTGGGGCCCGGTCTTCCTTTGTCACCCTTCATATCCCAGCTGAGTAGGCGAACATGTCCCAGAAATGTGTTCTGGATTGGGGGTCGGGGGGAAGAGCCAAAACAACAGCTACGTCTGAGACCGTGCTTCTTGGCACACACAGGCCATCTGTTCTTTAATGGGGTGCTCTCTGCGAGGATGCTCTCGAAATTTAGCAGGAAAGACAGCCAGCAATTTGAAGCTTCAAAAAGTCCTAACTAAAGTTTTTAATTTTGGCTCCTGGCCAGCAGTGACAAAACCTTTTACCATCAGAACACATACTTTCTGCTTCAGTGTTACTGCCTACCAACCTCTGCTTTGGAAATTTATTTTAATGAAAATCTAGTTAGTAGAAGATAATAAGTACCAAGAGTTCCTCAAAGTAGTTTCCTTTTAATATGTTTTTAAAGTGAATATTTAGGCCCATCTCTGTGTTTGCATTCGTCTCAGTTATGAGGTGGTTGATTTCTGTTTGTTTTAAATAGGATCATTACCTATTTTAAAGCTTAAATTTAGTGTAGCGTTCTATGGGTAATAGGAGCCCTAGCATTTAATTAAAGTTATTGTGTGTAGTTAAGATTCTTAGCTGTGAATAAAGAATTTTTAAAATGAGAACAAATAGCCGCAGGTTACTGTGTTTTCAGAAGGACTTGTGTGGTGTTTTCCTTCTAACGTCAGCACGACCCATCCGGTCAGTGGCACGCATAGGAAGCTGTGCTCTAAGCCTTTCTTCCCCCTAGACTTGGGAAGACCCGGGACACAATGACAAACACACTGGCTGTTGTGGCGACAATGACCCAATCGATGTCTGTGAAATTGGAAGCAAGGTAACGGAATCTGAAATGTTTCTCTTTAGTGCCCAGATGATATTAATGAAATATATAACACTCACCCTTTAGAAAATTTTATGAATAATGGTACCACTTTGGGTGACTAGAGACTTTAGAAACTTCCATTTTATTTAAAGCACTTGTATATTTGTATAATTATAATTGGTATATTTAAAATTAGCCTAGAAAATGTGTGCATACGTGACATACATGTGTGTGGAAGAAGTGGACGTGCTCTGCATTGCTTTGAAGGCAGATGACGTCAGTCAGTGGGTGAAGGGTACTAGGAGGCAAATTTCATCTTGGTACAAGGGATTCTTCTACATAGTAGGGTTGCTTTAAAATTCTGACTGTAGTTACATGTCTTCATGACATTTCTCAGGTTTGGGGAAATAGTAAACAACTATTTCCCCAACAGAAACCAAAAGAGTAGTCATTCAGTTTCTGAAGTCATTCAGTCATATTGTATGATGTCTAACTCAGTGGCTTCTATAAAATAAGAGGTAGAGAAAGTACATTAAAATATGTATATGAAACAAATTATGGAGGGTTCATTCTTTGGCACAAACAATAACAGTTTAAAAAATATTAATTATCCTGAATCATGTTACGGATTCTCTTAGGACCTATAAGTAGTAAAGGTTTATTTTCAACTTAGAAAAGACCAATAGGCATTTACTCGTTTAGTTTTTTTAAAACTGCTTAAAGGAACAGTCTTAAGGTAAGTCTCCAGGAACTTGGCATCTTCCTTATTTCCTGCCATCCACCAAGCAAAGCTTTTCTTCCATAGTTTCGTTCTGTAGTATTGTTCTGACTGTGGTTATTGACTCCCAGGTATGCGCAAGAGGTGAAATAATCAAGGTGAAAGTGCTGGGCATATTGGCTATGATTGATGAAGGGGAAACTGACTGGAAAGTGATTGCCATTAACGTGGATGATCCTGATGCAGGCAATTTTAATGGTAAGAAAATTGAAAGAGTCTGAAGTCTTCGTGCCTATATCTGATGCACCACTTAACCTGTAATGATGGCATTGTGACCTCATGATGCTTCAGACTGTTAAAGAGCGAAGGGGCAAAACATTTGACAAAGCGTTGCTATTTCTAATACTGAACTTCTCTAATTAAGTAAACTTTCTTCATTCCAGGAAAGAAAAAATCTGATAGTTTGTGTTTACTATTTTCTGCTTTTGTTCTCCACATACTCACACTCAGTTGCTGTAGTCATTTATTTTAAAAAATCTGTTTTAATTGAAATGTAATCCATATGCCATAAAAAGTCATCTTTTTTCTTAACATTTCTGTCATCACAGAAGGATTTATTGGACAACACTGTAGAGTCCCTAAGGGCTTCTTTTTTTAAAATAATTTTTTATATTTCAATTATAGTTGATGTCCAGTATTATACTAGTTTCAGCTATACAACCCAGTGATTAGACATTTATATAACTTATGAAGTGATCACCCTCATAAATCTAATACCCATCTGATACCATACATAGGTATTACACAATTATTGACAGTATTTCTTAAGCTGTTCTTTACATCCCCATGACTGTTCTGTAACTACCAATTTTTATTTCTTAGTCCCTGCACCTTTTTCACCCCTCCCCCCGAGACCCCTCTCATCTGGCAACCATCAAAACGTTCTCTGTATCTAAGAGTCTGTTTTCATTCAGCTTGGTTTTTATTTTGTTTTTTTAGATTTCACATATATGTGAAATCCTATGGCATTCTTTTTCTCTGATTTATTTCCCTCAGCACAGTACCCTCTAGGTCCATCCGTGTTTTTTCATGTGGCAAGATCTGACTCTCTTGTTTTGGCGTGTTTTGGCGGAGTCATGCCCCGTTGTGTGTATGCACTGCTTCTTCTTTATCTGTTCATCTGTTGATGGACACTAAGGCTGCTTCCATATTTTGGCTACTGTAAATCCTGCAGTGAACATATAGGTGCATATGTCTTTTTGAATTAGTGTTTTGGGTTTCTTTGGCTAAATACCCAGAAATAGAGTTACTGGGTCCTTCTTTGTCTCTCTTTTTTAAAAGATTTTATTTATTTATTTTTAGAGAGGGGAAAGGAGGGACAAAGAGAAAGAGACAAATATCAGTGTGTGGTTTCCTCTCGCACTCCCCACCGCTGGGGACCTGCCCCGCAACCCAGACATGTGCCATGACTGGAAATCAAACTGGTGACCCTTTCGTTCGCAATCCAGCACTCAATCCACTGAGCCACACCAGCCAGGGCCTTCTTTGTCTCTTGTATAGTCTTTGTTTTAAAGTCTGTTTAGTCAGGCATAAGTATTGCTACCCTGGCTTTTTTGTTTGTTTGCTTCCATTTTCATGAAATACCTTTTTCCATCCCTTTATTTTCAATCTGTGTGTGTCTTTTGGTCTGAAGTGGGTCTTTAGTAGGCAGCATATGTAAGGGTCATGTTTTCTTATCCATTCAGCCACCCTATGTCTTTTGCTTGGAGCATTTAATCCATTTGCATTTAAGGTAATTGTTGATGGATATGTAGTTATTGCCATTTTATTATTCATATTTTTCATTCTCCTTCAAAAAAACCCTTTACAATCTCTTGTAGTACTTACTGGTTTAGTGATGGATAAACTCCTTTAGTTTTTTCTTGTCTGGGAAGTTCTTTATCTGTCCTATGTTAGTTTTACTAGGTAGAGTTAGAAGCAGCAAGAGATAAGGGTCACCTACAAGGGAGTTCCATCAGACTGTCAGAGGATTTCTCAAAAGACACCTTACAGGCAAGAAGGGGTTGGGAAGAAGTATTGCAAGTCATGAAATCCAAAGACCTACAACCAAGATTGCTCTATCCAGCAAAGCTTTCATTTAGAATGGAAGGGCAGATAAAGTGCTTCGCAGATAAGTTAAAGGAGTTCATCATCACCAAGCTCTTATTATATGAAATGTTAAAGGGACTTATCTAAGAAAAAGAAGATAAAAAAGATGAACAGTGAAAGGACAGCAAATTCACAGTTATTAACAACCACACCTAAAACAAAAGCAAACTAAGAGGACAGCTAGATCAGGAGCAGAACCATAGAAATGAAGATCACATGGAGGGTTAGCAACAGAGGAGTGGGAGAAGGAGAAGGGGGGAGAAGGTACAGAAAATAAGTAGCATAGACAGTAGATAGAAAATAGATAGGGGGGAGGGCAAGAATAGTATGGGAAATAAAGAATCCAAAGAACTTGAGACACATGTTCATGAAATAAAGGGGGGGAATGGTGGGGGGTATACAGGGTGGAGGGGAATGAAGGCAGGAAATAGAACTGTAATGGCATAATCAATAAAATATATTTAAAAAAAAAGAAAATGTAGGTGCTGCTGAGAAGTCAGTTACTATCTTTATTACCCTTGAAGGTATCTCTGTGGCTTGTAAGTCTATTTTTGAGGTTACACATAAGAAGCTCAAGATAAGAAATTTGTGAAAAGATGACCTTGAAGATTTTAGCCTAGAAAACCTCTGTAGGCCATCTTATTGGTAAGGAAGGAAAAATCCTTTAAAAATTGAGCAAGACACACACTAGAACCACGATATCCATTGCAGGAATTTATGCTGCAATTTATAACCTGCGCCGTGACAGTTAAAGACCATGTTGAAACGTGCCAAAGCTGAGGAAGAGATAACAGAGAAAATCAGGGAATGTATGAAAGTGATTGCTTCTATGAATCTGCAGGCACATTTAGTTCCTGGGCTAAATCTGAATGCTTTGGGTCTGTTCCTGCATAGGTTAGGGATGCCAGCTCCCACATTGGGGCCCCCTTCAGCTGTGACTCCTCCTCACCCACAGTTTGAGCGATCAGAAAAAATGTTCATCTACTAATCTCCCAGCCGAATTCACCTGCGTGCTGTTATCAGCAAGCAGGGGCAGCGCAAACAGCTCGCTTTGCAGGAGCTGCTATTAAGATAGCTCCAGCTGAAGCACCGGCTGCTAAGGTGAGGATGGCGGTTATCCCTGGGCCTCGAGATGCTCAGTTCAAGGCTCCGGGAAGAATTTATGGAAAAATTAAAGAAGGCTTTGTTAGCCCTGAAGAACAGGTGAAACTCGAAGCTCATAGCAGAGTGCCATCCTTTGCTGCTGGCAGTCATTGAAAAAGGAGGCAAAGCAGTGAATGAGTTCCAGAATTTGTCAAGCACAGACGTTGTCGCTCATGACCAGGTCCCCGATGAGAATAGTGGTCAAAATAACTGGTCATTTCCATGCCTGCTGGGTTGCCCAGAGAACAGCTCTGACTCAGGTGCCAGCACCAACAGCAGAAAGCTCTGCACAGTAGACCACCTCAGTCAAGACAGAGGTAGAGGCTCAGGAAACAGCCCAGCACAGAGGCAGGTGCCAACCCGAAGGCAAATTGCTTCACCAGCAGAGGGTGCTGAACCCATGTCCTGAGTCACAGGCACAGGGCCACTTGTTTCCAAGCACCAGGCCACTTGTTTCTGAGCCTCTGTCTCTGTGACAGTATATACTTTATGCTCTCTGAAATGTATGACACCCTGCCATAATAAATAAATAAATAAGGGGGCAGGGGGAAGGGAGGAGCTCTGCACTTCCCTTTCGTTGTATTCTCAGTGTAACAAATTTTTCTAATTTTTGTTAAGATTCCCCCATAAATGCCAGAAACTGGCTTCCTGATCTATTCACTGAATTCATCATATAAATACAAAGAGGTTGCTCCTATGTCCAATAGTTAAAATTGGATAACAGAATTATTATAGGAGAGTAAATGTTAGGCTGTTAGCATAGAAAAATTATTCTGTTTTATTTTTATCAGACACTACGGATAACCTAAGGGAACTGCTGAATGGCGCTGGCAGGCGTATTAAATGTACGTTTTTAACTACCTCAGTGAAAGCGAATTTTTGTCTTTTTGAAAATCTCATATACTTTATAAAGACAAAAGTCCAACTGGGTTGTTTTTTTTTTTTTTTTTAGTAATCTTAAATTTTAATTAGTTAACAGGCCAAAAAAAAAAAAAAAAAGAAACCAAGGATTTTACCCCTGGCTGGAGACAGTAAAGCTGGAAAACTAATTTCAGACTTTTTGAGGCTTTCGACCTACTTATTGGTTGGAAAACCCAGCAAATGTCCAACGGTGTGGAACAGTGCCTGTGGTTGGAGGACAGTGATCCCGTTTATGTTTTTGTTTGTTTATGGTAGGGCATGTTTTTGGTGGCACTCATAGCCAAGTGGCTACAGGAGATTTTGGAATGGCTAGTTCAAATGACTTCAGGAGACTTGAAGTTTCTTATTTGGGTACAAGATGGAATGCATAAATGCGTTGTGATTTTGACGGTCACCACCTGAAGACAGTGCATCTGTGAAGAGGCGCAGCCCTGTGGGCTTGAAACTGACTGGCGAGTGCTGGTCTGTTGCACAGGATGCCGAACAGAGTTTGCAGTCCTCCCAGACCAGTGGGTCCGTGCTCCGAGCAGACCCCCGGAGAACTGTCTCTGTGAGGACAGGTGGGGCAGGCGATGGTCCTTTCCAGGGTATTGACAGTGTTTAAAGGCAATAAAAGGCTGTCGTTCCATGTGTCCGACGCTGTCATGAGCTTCATTAGGCTTTTTTGATGATTTTTAAACAATGATAAACCAAGAAAGTGAAAGGCCATCTAAAATATTACATAAGATGTAGTGGGCTTTCTGTATTCTCTGCAACTAGTTATTTGAAAATCAAAAGGTAGACAATACAAGAAAATCATTTTTGGAATATAATTTGAACGCCTGTGATAAAACATTTAACCTTGATACTGACCTCATTCGCCCATTCTATAACATTACGGCAAAGCCCAGCACGTACGGTTGTGTGAGCGGTGGGTGGGTTCTAAGGCCACTCTTCCCGCAGATTTGTTTCTGTGTTGCCTTTGTTCATAAAATGGGCACAGTCATCATATTACCCTGATCTGAAGGGCATAGACAAGAATCCTTTAAAAAGTCATTTTGGCTCATCTGTATTTCAAAGTGAATTTCTGTAGGCTAAGTAAGTTTTTCTGAAGATCAGTATTTCTGACATTTTATAAATGAGATGAAATGTTTTCCTAAACGTTTTCAGAAAACCAGTTTATTTTGTAGTTTTCGCCTAAAAGTATCCTTTTACTGAATTATCTAGTGGGTTTTTTTTTTTTTTCATACAATGAATTGCTTTAAAAAAATCATGGACTGGCTTTCTGGTTGGATTTCAGGTGAGATGTGCTTAAGGCCAGAGTTCTTCCTCAGTGTTTGATTTCCCGTATTTGGTGGTTTAAAAACAATACAATTAGGTACTACATTTATATATGGTGGCTTAAATTCTGCCATATTTCATCCCTAGCCTTTTAGTATGGCGAATTGTGTTCTCCGTTTAGCATTGATGATGGAGTACCTGGTAATACGGGGCTAGGAGGTAATTCTGTAACTGAGTTTGTACTCACTGCATTGGGATTGTTCCTCGTCCGTTCAGTGCCCCAGGTGCAGCTTCATTTTCCAAATACCTTGATGCAGAATAGTTTGTCAACATATAGATGAAAAAAAGCCACAGACCTTCTAAAATTAAGTTTATTAGGGAAAGCAGGCAGCTACAGAATGGGGAACAGTTTGTGAGGTGCCACTGAGAAGGCCTGAAGGCTGAGCCAAGCGTATCCGGGCGCGGTCTCTCGGACAGTCCTGCGGGTGGCACGGGCCTGGCGGCTGCTCGCCAGTCACTGGGAAGAACACTTTCGGTCACCGTCTAGTAGGCTGTGACATTTCGTTGTTTTCACTTATTTTCTTTCCGTTACAATTGACATTCAATGTTTTGTATTCCTTTCAGGTACAGCACAGTGGTCAATCATTTGATTTACAGAGTGGTTCCCCTAATAAATCCAGTACCCGCCTGGCAGCACACGTAGCTGTTACACTATTATCGACTATATTCCCTGTGCTGTACTTTACATGCCCGTGACTGTTTTGTAACTGCCCATCTGTACTTCTCCATCCCTTCACCTTTTTATCCATCCTTCCAACCCCCTCCCGTGTGGCAGCCCTCAGTTTGTTCCCTGGATCTGTGAGTCTGTTTCTAGACTGCGATGTTTGTCTTGTTGGGATTCTGCCATGAGACGTTACCCTGAGTGTGGTTAGTGCTAATGCTTTTGAAAGTACTCTCTCCTGCCACTCTCCAAAGATGGAACATCTTAGGCAGATGACAGAGTCTTCATATGCCCTTGCCGTTGAGTTCTGTATATCATACCCATGCTTACCCACAGTTAGAAAATAGGGAATGTTTTGCAGACTCCAAAGACTCAACCAGTGCAAAGTAAACCAGTATACTGGGGCCCTTGTTAACCTTTGAGGCCACATTTACCCATAACAACTTCAAGTTCAGTGTTATCAGACTCATTAATAAGGTGTACATGTCAAAGATTTAAGTGTTCTGCCAGAAATCATATGATTTCTGTGCCTCAGAACTGCAGGGGACAACATTGTCGTTTATCTGGTATGTTGCAACTTACCTGTTGGGTTCTTAGGTCTGATTAAGGCATTTGATTCTGGTAACCAAATTAAAATTTGAAATTTTTTATGCAAGAGTCAACATCTTTAACCTTCATTACAAAAGATGAGTGTTGATGGTTATGGATGGGTAATGAGATAACAGCAACTAACCTTCAGCCAGCTAGTGGTAAAAATTGTACCTGAGTTCAGATATCCTGGCAATGGACCATTCTTTTCTTAGGCATTGTATTTTCTTAATCACAGACAGGTAAACAAGGACATCTTGCAGCACTGTTATTCTGTCATTACAATGTAGTACTGTGCCAAGAAAGTTTTTTATCTTGTTAAGATTTGTCTTGCTAAGATAAATAAGAAAGTACTGGCTGGTATGGCTCAGTGGATTGATTGCTGGCCTGTGGACTAAAGGGTTGCTGGTTCTATTCCCAGTCAAGGCATGTGCCTGGGTTGGGGGCCAGGTCCCCAGGAGGGGCACATGAGAGGTAACCACACACTGATGTTTCTCTACTTTTCTTTCTCCCTCCCTTCACCTCTCTAAAAAAAAAAAATCTTTAAAAAGGTAGATAGGAAAGATTTATATTCTTATTAGAAAGAGGATGGGACCAGGTGCTAAGAAGTGGATTGTTGGACTTGTTAACCATATATTAACTTGGATGAAGTTCATAATTATCTCTAAATCCATGATTTTGTGGGGGCAATGGAATGAGAGACCACAGGGGAACAGGCTTTGTAAAGTCAAAAGCACCATATGAATAAAAGATGAACTGCCACTTTCACTTTCTATACAGATTCTATACAAGAAATATTTTTCAAATATCCTAAATAAGATTGATTTTTTAGAACATTTATAGGAAAGTGGTGTTATGATCAACATCACTTTGACCCAACAACTGTACTTCTAGTCCACATAATTTCTTACAAATACACACAAAGATGTTTGTACAAGGGTATTCACGGTGGCGTTGTTTGTGCCCTTGTAGTGAAAATCTGGAAAGAGCTTAAATAGCCATCCAGAGTTAGATGGAAATAATTATGGGCTGTCCAGGCAATGGAACACCGTGTGGCCATTACAAAAGGAGGTGTTTTTTCCTACTTTCTTTTCCGGTGTCTGGTAGTCAGGTTTCCTTAGTGTGGATCTAAGCACACATTTCAATGTCCGGTCCACAGTCAGAGAGTCGGTCAGCTTTTATATATTTTTCTTGCTATGGTATAATACAAAATATATTTGATCTTTGTCTCCAGCTTTCTCAAAAATGTCCTAAAACGCTTGGAATTTCCTGAGTGATGAGTGCCTTTTGTTGTTCAGGATGAGCCCTGTTCTGCAAACCTGAGTTTATGATAATGAGGTGACCCCGGGGTGGAGCCCCTGGCTGGCCTCTGGCTGGGACTGATTGGCAGAAAGACAAGTGACTGAAGTGACTTTCCAGCCCATCTGCCAACTTGCAGGAGGGGCCGTATATCGAACTCTTTAAAACTCCGGAATAATGACATCTGGAGCCCTTCTGAGTTGGTGATCACATGAAAGTGCTGGGAGGGTGGGACCCCCACCCTGAAAGGACGTGGAAGCTCTGCACCCCACTTTCCTCCATACCTTGCCCTGTGCATCTCTTCTGTTTGACTGTCCCTGAGCTATATTCTTTATAGTAAACTAGTGAACAGAACTGAAGTGTTTTCCTGAGTTCTGTGAGTCATTCCAGCAAACTGTTAAACCTGACAGAGAGAGTTGTAGGGAACCCCGGTGTGTACAGGTTTGTCTGAGGTGTGGGTGGCCTGGGATCTGCCAGAAGCAGGCTAAGTCTTTCGGGATTGATTCCTTTAACCGGTGGGATCCGCCACTAATTCCGGTGGTGCCGTTAGTAAATGAAGTTGTTGGGCCTGTGCCTGAAGAATAGGCGAACTGGTCAGAAAATGTGTTAGAACGTACCCTATACTTCCGTTTTGGATTTAGTTCTGTATTCAGTTAGTTCTCTATTAGGTAACACATTTTATGTGAATTATAAGTTCCTTGACATTTATCAGTGTGCCCTGTCCTTGTAGTTCAGTTGTTTAGAGCATTGTCCTAATATGCCAAGGTTGTGGGTTCGATTCCCAGTCAGGGTACATACCAAGGAACAACCAATGATGCATAAGTAAGTGGAACAACCCCTCCCCTCTGGCTCTCTTTCAAATCAATAAAGTAAATTTTTCAAAATGAAGGAATTTATCGGTGTTTAAACAGTTCCTAGTTCACTTTGTAAATTTTCCATACTTTTAGTAGTACTATGAAATAAAATGCATTATATTCTTTAGCTATTTATGTTATAAATTGGACTTAAACATTATTTCATACAAATATCAATAAGCTTCTGTTGTTGAACATATTCCTCCTTCCAAAAATACTTTTCCTAATTAATTTCTTAGCACTTGTGTCTTCTGCTTGCTTGCGTTGTGTGGCAACTTGGTCATTTAAAGCTGACTGAGGCTAGCCATTGTTGATGGCTGTACAGAAAGTAAAAAGTGTTTTGAACAAACACTTTGCTGTTGGCCAGAACTAAAGCATCGTGATACAGAATGCCAGTTCTATAGTTAGAATAGTCACATTTAACATGTAATGCGTCAGTGGATGTCAGTGAAATCCGTTTTTCTTTTTCTTAACGTGCATAATTTTGGTGTACTTTTGAGAATATAGCCTCAGCCTATCTTTTTTTTTTTTTTTTTGTATCTCTCCTTATAGAAATTATCCACACTTGCCAAACTGTCCTCTCATTATATGGCCCCGGTCAGTTCTCTCTCTTCTTATCTAATAGAAGTTCCTGTTGTGCTGATTGCTCCCTCACTACTGAATGTCAGAGCTGTTCTGACTCCCTAGATGGTTTCCTTTAAATGTGTCTGCGTGTCCCTTCTCAACCAGGGGGTTTAGCTCTCCCATTATCCTGAACTTGTTTTAATGATCATCTCATAGCTCTTTCAAAGTAAGTATGTACTTGGTATTTTTGTCACATAAGTAATTACATATGCATCTTGCAATCTGCTTCTTCTCTTCTAAGATATTAATGATGTCAAGCGGCTGAAACCTGGCTACCTAGAAGCTACTGTGGACTGGTTTAGAAGGTACAAGGTTCCCGATGGAAAACCAGAGAACCAGTTTGCGTTCAATGCAGAATTTAAAGATAAGGTAATATGTCATTTGGAACTGTAGCTTCAGGGCTACTTGTACTGAGATTTATGCTTTAATGTACTGTTGCCACTTAAATACTACATGATCATTTAAACTCTATCTAACGACATGCCAGTCTTGATGTGGATTTATCCATTTAAATGTTTTCCATTTTCGACCCATGGAAATGATTCAAAAGAGACAAAGTTCCCAGGCTTTGGGAAAATGGTCTTAGGTATACTTTGCTAATTGTTATGCATGTCTCTTCAAATTACAGGACTTTGCCATTGATATTGTTAAAAGCACTCACGACTTTTGGAAAGCACTAGTGGCAAAGAAAGTCGATGGAAAAGGCATCAGTTGGTAAGCATCGACTCTTGGTGTGTCTGACACAAAGCAGACCAGCTTGCTCTGGAGGCTTCAGTAACCAGAACGCACTGCACCATTACTTTGATTTAGAAAAGAAATCATTGGTTTTGTCATTTAGTGCTTAAGTGAGAAGGCAGACAAACACCTGAAAGTGCTCATAGGATACTCTGAACAAGATGAGCTAAAACTCTCAGGAGGACAGCAAGATCAGAGCTTTGTGAGGGTGTTTGGGAAAGGTTCCTAGCATCAGGGGGTCAGAATGCCATAGGTAAAATACAGCTGGGTGCAAGGTTTAGTGTTCTCCGATGTAAATCTGCAAGGTGCCTCACAACCAAACCAGTATTTACCGTGCATGCACAATTTGCTGCCACTAATAATAGCAAATATTTATCGAACAATAAATGTTTGCCAAGCATGTGATGGAGATTAAACTTAACCAAAGTCATCCCACAGTAAATGTTTCAGAGTTAGGACTCGTATCCACGTCTATCTGGCCCCTCACCCAAGGTCAGACAATATACTTCATAGATATTTAAAGATTTATAAGAGAATGTCCACTATTATCACTTAACTAACATTGTTCTGGCAATAGTAGTCAGTGAAGAAATGATGTGTCTTGATTCAGGAATGTTGGAGAACGCGGAGCATATTGTGGCAGATGATACAATTGTGTACTCAGAAAACCCCAGAGAATATAAAGAATTCAGCAAGGTGGCCAATTACAAAATGAGTATATTACGTACGGCTGACCCTTGAACAATATGGATTTGAAGAGCATGGGTCCACTTACATGTGGATTTTATTCGATAAATACATACAGTAGTGTAAATGTATTTTCTCTTACGATTCTTTTAGAGATTTTATTTATTAATTTTTAGACAGAGGGGAAGGGAGGGAGAAAGAGAGGGAGAGAAACATCAGTTTGTCCTTGTGTCTCGTGTGCCCCCTACTGGGGACCTGGCCCACAACCCAGGCATGTGTTCTAACTGAGAACTGAACCTTTGACCCTTTGGTTCACAGGCCTGCGCTCAATGCACTGAGCCACACCAGCCAGGGCTCCTTATGATTTTGTTATAACATTTTCTTTTCTGTAGCTTACTTTATTGTAAGAATATAGTATATAATACATATAACATGCAAAATATGTGCTAATAAACTTTGTTATTAGTAAGGCTTCCGGTCAATAGTAGGCTGTTAGTTAGGTTTTGAGGGAGTCAAAGTTTATATGGGGACTTTTGACTATGTGGGGGGGTCGGTACCCCTAAGTCCCCTGATGTTCAAGGGTCAATTGTATAAGTGAGATCACGCAGTATTTATCTTTTTCTGTCTGACTTATTTAACTTAACATGGTGCCCTCGAGTTCCACGCATGTTGTAAATGGCAAGATTTCGTCCTTTTCTATAGGTGGACGATGCTGCGTTGTGCACACATGTATGACGTTTTCCTTAGCCCCCCCCCCCCCATCAGTGGACACCCAGGTTGTTTCATATCTTGGCTGTTATAAATAAGGCTGCAGTGAGCAAGGGGGTGCACTATATCTGTTTTTGAATTAGTGTTTTTATTTTCATCGTGTAAATACCCAGAAGTAAAATTCGGGATCACACATTAGTCCCATTTTCAGTTTTTTGAAGAATCTTCACACTATTTTCCATAGTGACTATGCATTTCCCACTGACAGTGCACAAGGGTTCCCTTTTCTCCACATCCTCACCAACATTTTTTGTTGCCTGTATTTTTGATAATAGTAATTCTAACAGGTATGAGATGATATCTCATTGTGGTTTTGATTTGCATTTCCCCGATGAGTGAAATTGTTTGTTGGGGTTCATTTTCTTATTCATTTGTGTGAGTTCTTTATATATTTTGGATATTAAGCCCTTATTTGTGTGATTTGCAAATATTTTCTTCTATTCTGTAGGTTGCCTTTTCATTTTTTTGATTATTTCCTTTGCTGTGCAGAAACTTTTTAGTTTAATGTCCCAATTGTTTATTTTTGCTTCTGTTGCCTTTGCTTTTGGTGTCTGATGTCAAGGAGCTTACCATCTGTGTTTTCTTCTAGGAGTTTTATGGTTTCAGGTCTTATCATTTAAGTCTTTAATCTATTTTGAGTGAATTTTTGTGTATGATACAAGATAGTGGTCCAGTTTGTTCTTTTGCAGGTGACTATCTAGTTTTCCCACCACCATTTATTGAAGAGACTGTCCTTTTCCCCATTGTACATTCTTGGGCCCTTTGTCATAAATTATTGACCATATATGTGTAGGTTTCATTTCTGGCTCTCTCTTTGGTTCCATGAATTTATGTGTTTATGCCATTACCATACAGCTCTGATTACTATAGCTTTGTAATATAGTTTTAAATCTGAGGCTGTGATGCCTCCAGCTTTGTTCTTCTTTCTCAAGATTGCTTTGGCTATTTGGAGTCTTTTATGGTTCCATACAAATTCTAGGATTTGTTCTAGTTTTGTGAAAAATGCCATTGGAATTTTGATAGGAATTGCATTTAATGTAGATTGCTTTGGGCAGTATGGACATTTTTAACAACTTTATTCTGATAGTTCATAAGCTTAGGATATATTTCCATTTATTTTAGCGGATATTATGTTATTTTATAATATATATCTATAAATAATATATTATTTAAAAGGCATTAGAGTTTTTTTCATTTTTATTAATTTGTTATAGTTTTCACTCTATAATAATCTTTTACCTTCTTGGTTAAATTTATTCCTAGGTGTTTTATTCTTTTTTATATAGCTGTAAGTGGGATTATTTTTTAAATTTTTCTTCCTAGCAGCTTGTTATTCATGTATAGAAATGCGACAGATTTGTGTATATTGGTTTTGTATCCTGCACCTTAAGTAAATGTGAGGTTCTTCCTTGAACTTCAGTTGAAGCAATTTGGATCTCATCTTGTCTACCACCTTCACCTTGTTTTTTTGAACTCTTAAGAGAGCATTTTCTGTTACTGCACCTCATGCCTACTTCTGTTTTACTTAATAGCGTGAACACCACAGTGTCTGAGAGCCCCTTCAAGCATGACCCTGATGCTGTCAAAACCTTTGTGAATGCTGTACGTAACAGTTTCCTTGAAAAAGCACATACCTCGTGGCTAAAAATACAGGCTAAGTCGGTGGGAAAATACTTCTTTCAGCTGATATTTGAGCACTTCCTGTGTGTACATCCCTGTGCGTGGTCTCGGAATTACAGACCACAGGCACACGGAAGCAGGGAAGTAGGCCGTGGCGGGGCGGTTCCTGGTCCTAGAAAAGACTTAAGGTAGTATGTTATTTATCAAAGAAGTAATTTTTTACTATTCTTTATCCTATTTGGATTAACCAGAATACTGGACTAGACGATCTTCATTTTCAATATTAAATAAGGAAAACAAAAGAAAATGAGGTCTCACTTTTTACGGCTTTGTGATTAAGAGGAAAAATAACAATTTAATGATGAAGCCAATGCATGTAGATTTATCTTTAGAAATAAATCCTGACCAAGTTGAAATGAATAAGAAAAATGGAAAAGTCATTGCTTAGCAATCATAACTTTTCAGTGAGAGAACTCTACCTACATTTTTATATATATAGTTTATATATATATAGTATATATGAAATGATGTGAGTAAATGTTTTTATTATTTATTTCAAAATACATTTATTCTTATTATTTATTCCCATGTGTGTTGTTAGAGAGGCTTGAATTTGTTAGCGTTTCTTAGCAGTAGAGCAAACTTGCATTGTTCCTATAAATTATTCAATCCTCACCCGAGGATATGTTTGATATGAGAGAGAGACATCGATCTGTTGCCTCCCGGATGTGCCCTGACCAAGGATCGAACCTGCAGCCCTTTGGTGCACAGGATGGTGCTCCAACCAACTGAGCCACCCGGCCAGGGCCCTGTAGATTATTCTTTTTAGAACCTAAAAATTAGGATAATCATCCTTCGTTCAGATTTATTTTTAACTTTTATGTCAGTATACTTTCGTAGCTTTTTAAAAAACAGGACTAGACTAATATATTGTAATAATTTATTTTAGTCACCACCGCCATGTGACTCTGCCTGCGCAATACCCACAGACGGTAAGATCAACATTCTACTGCAGGGACGTTAAACGCTATGTGGATGTGTGGGGAAATTGTAGATAAATCTTACCCACCATGTCCATCCAGAAAAGAAGGGAGGGGGGAAGAAACGTCCGCAGCGTTCCACGGTGTACGTGGGAAGAACGAGGGCTGCACGCACCTCCTCTGGTGCCAAGCCCCGTCACAGCCACTTCCAAACCGTGACCTGCTCTCCTCTGGGTTCTGGGTAGGTGCTTCGTGGACACTGGAGAAGGCTGGGCTCTGGGTCCCCGTGTGGCCACAGGCTGCTTTCCCCAGACGGCAGTTCTCTGCCCACGTAGATGTAGAATTTGCTGTCAGGTTCTGCTGGTGAGAATCATGTTTATATGACTAGTATCAAGGATAAGGAAGCCCAGAAGAAAACACTGTGTTAAATTACCTGTTTTTGCCGTAATGAAACTGCATGTATGAAAGTTTGTTTTAAGGTAATGCATAGTAGGATACATTAGAGCAGGTATATTATTCTTTGTTGTATGTTGGGTGTATTTTTTTTTTTAATTAGAAAGGAAAAGTAATATTCTCACAAAATATGTTGGGTGTATTTTGATTAATGAGTATTCTCATTTGCTTTTCTTTTCTCTGACTGCAGTGGATAAGTGGTTCCATCACCAGAAAAACTAAGGAAATGTCCCGGATACAAGCGGGTATTGCTGCATCCTATTCACCTGGAAGTATAGATGCAAAAGTAGTGGCTTTTCAAAACTTTAAATTTATAGAACTAATCTACCAAAGCAAACTCTTGTGACCAATCCAATATATTTAGTGTGTTATCCATATAAAAGCATTTTTCATATCACAACTAAGGTAACTTCTAGTACATGCTTAAATATCAAAACGGTTATTGGAATTTGAAAGTCATTTGTGAATAAACGTGCAAGATATTGGATGTATATGTTTACTGCGTGTTAGGAAATAAAATTATTTTGCTGAAACTTGGCTCGTATTTTTATTTTTTCAAGAAGCCGGACATTATCAAGCTGATGTGGGTGCTGTTTGGTGTGTGTTTTCCTATCAGTGATCTTACAATTCAATTTTATAATTATCGGAATAAAACTAACTTTATTTTGGGGAATCTGAGAGTGAAATTCCTTATTTTTATAATAGTCTTGATACCGGGCTCTTATGTAATTCTTAGTATCCCACTGTAAATCCAAAGCTTTTTAATTTAGCCGTGGGTGGTGGTGTTCAATGGGTTGAGTGCCGGTCTGCAGACTGAAAGGTGGTTGGTTCGATTCCCAGGCAGGGCATGCAAGAGGCAACCAATCAACATTTCTTTCACACACGGATGTTTCTCTTCCCCTCTCTTTATCCCACCTTTCCCCTCTCTCTAAAAGTAAATAGATAAAATATTTTTTAAAGATAAAAAAATTTAGCCCTGGCTGGTGTAGCTCAGTGGATTGAGCACGGGCCTGTGAACCAGACAGTTGCGGTTCGATTCCCAGTCAGGGCACATTCCTGGGTTGCAGGCCAGTTCCCAGCAGCGGACGCACGAAAGGCAACCAACCATACATTGATGTTTCTCTCCCTCTCTCCTTCCCTTTCCCTCTAAAGATAAATAAATAAATAATCTTTTTTAAAAATCAACTTAAAAAAATAAATAAATTAAATTAAAAATTTTTTAAAGCTTTCTAATTTATATTAGCAGAAAACACAACCCTGCTCACCTTTTGAAATGAAATAGTTACTTTTTTTACTTCTCTAAGCAACTAATTCAGTCCTTAAGTCATTTACATTATTTTCTGAGTTATAAGCCAGAATAGCTTGGACTGCTGACCTATACAGATCTGCATTTTTAATCCTCGCCCATCTGCTTATTAGCTGTTCTCTTTGGTCAGTTGCCAGCCACCCCACTTCAGTTCCTTCCGTTGTGAAAGTGAAGAGATGTTTTTCATGTAATATATTAATTGTACCTTTTAAAAAAATTTAATGACATCATTGTATTGCAGGGAGCTGTAAAAAATAAAAGAGATTTTGTCTGCACCTTGCCCAGTTTCCCACAAAGGTAAGGTTTTGTAAAACTTTAGTATATTACAGCAAGGACTTCGGCAAGGATTACAATCCACTGATCTTATTCTGATTTTCCAGTGTTCCTTGTACTCATTTGAGTGATACATTGTTCTGTACAAGTTACTCACCTATGTAGGTTCCTGTATCCTACAAGATACCGATTCTCTCCTATGTTTTTCTCTAGAAGCTTTATGTTTTTACATTTTACATGTAAGTCTGTGATCATTTGGAGTTTATTTTGTATGAGGTGAGGTTTAGGCCAAGGTTCCTTTTTTCCCCCTGTGGATGCCCAGTTGCTTGAGCATTATTTATTGGAAGGTTATTCACTTCTGTTAAATGTCAGTTGTATGGGCCTGTTTCCGGGTCCTCTGTTCCATCCTACTGGGCCACCTGTCTGTCCCTCTGTCCGTACCACACTCTGGATTGCTGTGGCTGTGTGGTAAGCCTTACTGCCAGACAGAGCACGTCCTCCCACTTTTTTCTGTATTGAAAAAAAGCTGATTGTTTAATTAGTTGAGGCCCTGTGCCTTTTCTTGTTTTTTTTTTTTTTTGCTTTATTTTTAGAGGGGAAGAGAGGGAGAGAAATATCAGTTGGTTGCCTGTCACACACACCCCCACCCCCTCGCCACTGGGGACCTGCTCTGCAACCCAGGCGTGTGCCCTGACCGGGACCAAATTGGTGAACTTTCACTTTGCAGAACAATGCCCAGCCAGCAGAGCCATGCCTGTCAGGGCAGCCCTGGGCCTTTTTATTTATTATTTATTTTTCATTTTTTTAAATATATTTATTGATTATGCCATTACAGTTGTCCCATTTCCCACCTTCATTCCCCTCTACCATGCACACCCCTCCCCCATTCCTCCCCTTTAGTTCATGTCCATGTGTCACAACTTCTTTAGCTTCTACATTTCCCATACTATTCTTGCCCTCCCCCTGTCTATTTTCTACCTACCATTTATGATACTTATTTTCTGTACCTTTCCCCACTCTCTCCTCCCACTCCCCTGTTGCTAACCCTCCAGGTGATCTCCATTTCTATGGCTCCGTTCTTGATGTAGCTGTCCGCTTAGTTTGATTTTTTAGGTATGGTTGTTAATAACTGTGGGTTTGCTGTCTTTTTACTGTTCATATTATTCATATTTTTATCTTCTTTTTCTTAAATAAGTCCCTTTAACATTTTATATAATAAGGGCTTGGTGATGATGAACTCCTTGAACTTGACCTTATCTGAGAAGCACTTTATCTGCCCTTCCATTCTAAATGAAAGCTTTGCTGGATAGAGCAATCTGGGATGTAGGTCCTTGCCTCTTATGACTTGGAATACTTCTTCCCAGCCCGTTCTGGCCTGCAAGGTTGCTTTTGAGAAATCAGCACAGTCTGTTGGGAACTCCTTTGTAGGTGACTGTCCCCTTATCTCTTGCTTCTAGAATTCTCTCCATTTTAATCTTGGCTAATGTAATTATGATGTGCCTTGGTGTGTTCTACCTTGGGTCCACCTTCTTTGGGACTCTCTGAGCTTCCTGGACTTCTTAGAAGTCTATTTCCTTTGCCAGATTGGGGAAGTTCTCCTTTATTATTTGTTCAAATAAGTTTTCCACTTGTTGCTCTTCTTCTTCCCCTTCTGGTACCCCTATAATTCAGATGTTGGAATGTTTAAAGATGTCCTGGAGGTTCCTAAGCCTCTCTTCATTTTTTTGAGTTCTTACTTCTTCATTCTTTTCTGTTTGTTTGGTTGTTTCTTCTTTCTGTTCCACTCCATTGATCTGAGTCCCAGTTTCCTTTTTATCACTCTTGGTTCTCTGTGCATTTTGCTTCATTTCACTTAGTGTAGCCTTCATTTTTTCATCTAATTTGCAACTAAAATCAACCAGGTTTGTGAGCATCCTGATCACCAGTGTTTTGAACTGCATCTAATAGGTTGGCTGTCTCTTGGTCGCTTAGAAGTATTGGCTCTGGGGCATTGAGCTGTTCTTCCATTTGAGCCATAATGTTTTGGTCTGTTTGTGCCTGTTACATATGAAGGGCTGAGAGACAAAGCTTAGTTGTTCACTGGTGCAGGTCAATCCAGGTGTTGGGTTGTGACTGGGGGTGGGGTCAGAGAGGGAGCAATGGTGTTTTTTTGCTCTCTCTCGGATTTCAGTCCCCGCTGCCACTTCTCACAAGCAAATTGGGCCCTTCTGGTGCTGGTTGCTGGGTGAGTGGAGTTGCATACATTCTAGGACCCTATGGGTCTCTCCAATGAACTCTCCTGTGAGGCTGGGAGTCTCTCCCGGCACCTTAGCCCCTGAAAGTTTTTCCAATTGGTGCTTTTAGGCTTTATTTCCCTGCTCTGGGGCCTTGCGTTGTGCGATTTGTCTCACTGTCTGTTTTTTTCACCTGGTTTATCTGTGGGCAAATGTGTGACCACAGTCAGCCAGCTGCCTTGCACCCTCACTGGGTTTGCTCATTGCCACCCCACGCCTGGGGTCTGCTAACTGCCGCCTGCATGCCTGGGTTGGTCCCGCAGCCACCACTTTTTCCTGCCACAACCCCTCTCCGCCCACTGGCCACCAACTGTGCCCCTCTTACCAGTCTGGATGAATGGTTCGTTGTTATCGGACTTCAGTACAGTTCAATTTTCTGTCTGTTCTGGTTGTGTTTTTGTTTCTAAATCTTTGTTGTCCTTAAATTTGGTTGTGTGAGGAGGTACAGTATTTTTACCTATGCCTCCATATTGGCCAGAAGTCTCATTTAACTTTTTAAATAAGTTTTTTTTGTTGTTTACTGTCTACGCCTATGAGAAGTATTACTGAGATTTTGATAGACATGGCATTAAACCTATAGATAGATTTTAGCCAGATAGATTTTAGCCATATGTTTATTTCCCTAATGTGTTTTTCTGTTAGTGATTTCTGGTTTGATTCCATTATGGTCAGATGACATGCTCTATGTGATTTTACTACTCTTCATATTACAAAGATTGTTTCACAGCCCAGAGTGTGGTCTGACTTGGGGGATGTTCCACAGGTGCTTAGAAGGAAAAATGTGTACTGGTAGTATTGGGTGGGGTGTCATGTTTATCTTAGCTAACTCCTATGGGTTGGTAGTGTCAAGGACACCTCTGTCCTTGGTTTTTATTAGTTTTATCATTTGCTGAAAGAAAGGTGTTGAGTCCTCAGTTACGACTGTGGATTCATGTATTTCACTTTTTGGCTCTATCAGGTTTTCTTTTTCTCCATGTATTTTGAAGCTCTCTCATTTGGTATGTATACATTTTTTAAACCTTTATGTCTTCCTGGTGGATTGATCCTTATATCATTATGTATTGTTCCTCTTTGTCTCTTGTAACTTTCTTTGCTCTCTAGTATCAGACATTAATATGGCCACTTTTAAAATTAATGTTTGCAGACTTCTGGCCAAGATGGAGGCTCAGGTAGACACACTGGGCCTCCTCACACCACCAAATAAGCACAACAATTTAAAAACAAAAAAAGCAACCAGTACTGACAGAAAATTGAACTGTATGGAAGTCCAATAACCAAGTAGGTGAAGTAGGCACATTCATCCAGACTGGTAGGAGGGGCGGATCAGGTGGCTGGGCAGAGAGGTGTTGCAGCAAAGTGGTGGCTAGTGGACCCCGGCTCACAGGCAGCAGTTGGTGGATCCAACCAGGTGGCGGATTGTGGAGGGGCACATCCAGTCCCACATTCACGCATAGATAAACCAGATAAAACTGGGGAGTGGGACAGACCACGCAATCCAGGGTCCCAGCATGGGGAAATAAAGCCTCAAAGCACCAATTGAAAACACCTGTGGGATTGAGGCGCTGGGAGAGACTCCCAGCCTCATAGGAGAGTTTGTTGGAGAGACCCACAGGGTCCTAGAATGTACACAAACCCATCTACCTGGGAATCAGCACCAGGAGGGCCCCAGTTTGCTTGAGGG